TTGAGGGGGGGGCACTCGGGACAGGTCGTGGCCATGGGGTCCCGTGGCAGCCCCCCCGGGACAGGCGGTTGGAGCGCTCACATCCAGCCATGTCCCGGGTTGTTTTTTTTTGCACTTTTGAAACCTCCCCAGGAGGCGATCGGTGGAGGAGCGAGGTTGGGTCCGGTTCAGGGTCCGGGTGCCTGGAGATAGGAGCTGGGGAGGGTGGGGGGGTTGGGGGGGGCCCTGCCTCGCAGCTGTGCTTTGAGGCAGGGTTAAAGAGTGCACTGGTGAGCTCAGGACCAGAGGGTTTGGGTGCCTGCACCCCTTCCCTGGCCCTGTGCCCACGCTGTCCCCGTCCTCGGGATGGAGAGGTCACCGGGGATGAATCTGGGGTTCAGGATAGGCCCAGTGGAGGGGAGGGTGTGGGTGAGGCTGGGCACCCCGTCTGCTCCTCCCTCACGGCCTTTGCCTCGGCCCCTCCGCCACCGCAGCACGGTTTCCCCAGCTCTTGGGGCGCCGTCACCCCAAGGCTGCTCCCTGCAGGACCCCCCCCTCTGCCCGGTGCCACCCGGCCGAGCCCTGCTGAGCGATGGAGGGGGACCCCACGCTGCGGCTCCGCGTCTTCGACCTCAACTGCTGGTGAGTCCAGAGTCCGCCGGGGCTGCGGGGACAGGAGACGGGGACAGCCACCCCAAGGGATGGGGGCCTGGCCATGGGGCTTACCTGCCTGCCCCCTTTATTTTGGGTTTCGCACCGCTCTCAGCCCCAAAAGGCTGTGAGGTGCTCAGCTGGGCAGTGCCCCTTGTCCCCACTCCCCACTTACACTCCCCCTTCTCCCACCAGGAAAGGGCCCCCCATTTGCACTCCATCTCGGGTGGGCTTCTTCGCCTTGCAGGCAGGAAGATCTGTCCCCAAACAGGCTCCCTGCACGCCCCTCTTGTCCCCATGTCCCCACCCTCTCCCCCCTTCATTCTGTGTCCCCAAGTGCCCCAAACCCTCCCCCAATCCCCCCAAACTGTCACCGCCTTGCCCCTTTCCACCAGGGCCATCCGCTACCTGAGCAAGCGGCGCCAGGAGCGCATCCGGCTCATCGGGGACAGGCTGTGCCAGGAGGGCTTCGACCTGGTGCTCCTGCAGGAGGTGAGGCCACCCGTGAGCTGAGCGCGCCCGGTCTCAGCCCCGTGAGCCCAGGGGCTCCCGTCCTCCGCCCGTGCCGCTGTCCCGCAGGTATGGAGCGAGCAGGACTACAGCGACCTGAAGGCGAAGCTGGGAGGCTGCTGCCCATATTCCCATTATTTCCGCAGGTGAGAGGGGCCAGGCTGCTCCCCTTTTTCCCCCCGGGTGTCCCCAGGGCTGTGCCGGGGGGGTTTAACCCCATGGAGAGCCCACGGTGCGGGTGCTGTTGGTGTCCTGGCCCTGTGGCACCGGGGAGCACGGCGCATGGGGACGCACGGCAGACCCCAGGGTAGAGGGAGGGAGCTATGGGGAGGGGGCACACGCTCACTGCACCCCCCGTCCCGCAGCGGTGTCATCGGCAGCGGGCTCTGCATCTTCTCCAAGTTCCCCATCCTGGACACGCTGCTCTACCAGTACTCGCTCAACGGTTACCCCTACATGGTGAGTGGGGTGGGGGGACACACGGCACCCCTGGGACCCCACGGAGCCGTGCCGGACCCCATCTCTCCTCTTCCCTTTTTCCAGCTCCAGCACGGGGACTGGTTCTGCGGCAAGTCCGTGGGGCTCGCCGTCATTAACATCTCCGGGATCGTCTTCAACGTCTACGTCACCCACGTGAGCACCTCGGTGTGGGGGACACGAGTGGCCGCGTGGCCCTTTGCTGTCCCCTCCCTGCGGCGAATTTAATGAGATATTGCCTAGGGTGGGGGGCTGCGTCCCAAAATGCAGGCTGTGCAAGTGGGGTGGGGGTCCTTTTGGTGGGCTCAGCCGGCAGCCACGGGATTTGAGAGACCCCCAAAGGGGCCGGGTGGGTTGTAGGGCGCCCTGGAGCTGCAGAGGGAGGTCACGGCCCCGTTGCCCCCCCGTTTTTGGCAGCTGCACGCCGAGTACTGCCGGGAGAAGGACTGCCTACCTGCCGCACCGCGTGGTGCAAGCCTGGGAGCTGCTGCAGTTCATCCGGTGAGCGGCCACGGACTGTGGCTGGGGGGGTACCGGGGAGGGGGGTCCCAGTTTCCCCCCCCCCGTCCCCTGGGGTGTGGCGGGGGAGGCTGAGCCGGTGCCAGTCCCTGCAGGCACACGGCGAAGGCGGCCGACGTGGTGCTGCTGGGGGGGGACCTGAACATGCACCCCCAAGACGTGGGCATCCGGCTGCTGCGCTGCTGGACGGGGCTGCGGGACGCCTTCACCGAGACCAAGCACTTCGAGGTGAGCAGGCACGGGCTGAGCGGGGGGGCTCGAGGGACACCCCCATGTCCGGGAGGGGGGTCTGGGACCCTGCTGGGACACGGTGCTTGCTCGTAGGGCTGCGAGGACGGCTGCACCCTGATCCCCAACAACTGCTTCACCGTCAATTCAGAGCTGCAGCCCTTCCCGCTGGGCATCCGCATCGACTACATCCTCTACAAGGTGATGGGGACCCCCCCAGGGCTGGGATGGGGGGGGGTTACAGAGGGGGGCACCTCCTGACCCCGCTGTGTCCGTGCCCAGGCTGGCTCCGGCTTCACGGTGAGGTGCGAGGAGCTGCAGACCACCACGGGGACGGCCCCGGGCACGGATATCCCCTACTCGGACCACGAGGCCGTGATGGCAACGCTGCACATCCAGAGGACGGGGCAGGCAGCGGGTGTCACCCCCAGCACGGCCGGTAAGGAGGGGGGCACCCCCCCAGCACCCCCCTTTTTGGGGGATCCTGGTGAACAACCGACAAGAGGTTGGTTCAAGACGGAGAGGAAATTTTGGGGATGCCTCCACTTCCCAGCGCATCCCCTTTCGGGGAAGGAGCTGGCGGAGGGGCGCAGGGATGGGGGAAAAAAAGGGTAGGGAGGGGGGGTGCCGCTTCACTGAGCCCCCCCCGCCTTGTCCCCGCAGTGCCGGCGCTGGTGGAGGTGCTGAGCGAGGCGCGGACCGAGGTGCGCGTGGGGCTGCAGGCGGCGCGGCGCCAGCGCTACTCCTCGGGCAGGATGGCCCTGCTGGCCCTGCTGCTGCTGCTGCTGCAGGCTGCGGCCGCGCTGGGCGCCCTGGTGGGGCTGGCGGGGGGGCAGCCCTTCCCCAAATTGTCCTTCGCCCTGCTGGCCTTCCTCGCCCTCGGCGTCCTCCTCCTCGCCACCGGCCTCCACCTCTTCCACACCATCGAGGTGAAGATGCTGCAGGGCACCGAGGAGCAGATGCGGATGGCGCTGGGGGTGCTGCAGGAGCGCCCCGGACGCTCCTGACCTGGAGCTGGGGGGGGGGGTTCATCCCCGGCCCCATCCTGACCCGGCTCAGGGCCCCTTTTTCTCCTTGACTTTGGGATTTTGGTGAGCAGTGCTGCGGCAGGCTCATTAGCGCAGGTTCCACAGCCGCCTTCTGGGGTGGAATTAAGGTTTTGGGACAAAAGGTTTGCCCCCGTGGGAACCACGATGGAGGCAGGCTTTAATTAGCTTTTTTTTAATATGCCCTTTCCGTCTGGATGGACACCCCGGGGTGTGCGAGCACCTCGGCCTCCCCCTGCCCAGGACAACCCCAGGGGCTCCCTCTGAGAGCTTTGGGCCACCCCAGCAGCCGGATTTGAGTCAGAGAGAAAATAAAGGCAGTGTTTGAGCCCTAGGGCCGCATCTGGGAGGCTTTATTCCAAGGGAGGGGGCTTGCAGCAGGGCCAATTAAAATGCAGCCGGGAAGGTGTGGGGGCACGGGAGGAACCTTTGGGTGAGGGCGGCCACGGAGGAGCCCGCACCCAGCACCCCTGTGACAGCCCAACACAGCCGGGGACTGCAGAAAGCACCGTGTCAGCAGGGGGAACGGCCCTGCAGCACCTGGAAATTCCTTAAAGGTCCGAGAGATCGGGGCGAAGGGCACTTTGGCATCGGCAAGCAGGAAGAACCCCAAAGGGGCAAGGAGGAAACAGCCACCAGCGGCTCTTGTCCTCTGTGTCACACGCACGCGGTGCCAGCCCTGGGCAAAATCCAGCGGGAGAGCGGCTGGTTAAATGTCCCCGTCCCCCTAAACTCACGTGGAGGTTTGTGACCCTGGTGTCCTGCAGGGGATGGGGACGGCGGCACCCAAAAGCAGAGGTGCTGTGCGCTCAGCCTGCTCTGGCCGTTGCTGGTCCCAGTTGTAGAGCCAGACGTGTCGGGCTGGGATGGATGTCCTGGATTGGGATGGATGTCCCAGATTGGGATGGATGTTCAAGGTTGGGATGGACGTCCCAGGTTGAGGTGGATGACCTGAGCTGGGATGGATGTCCCTGGTTGGGATGGATATCCTGGGACGGGATGGATGTTCCACATTGGGATGGATGTCCTGGGTAGGGATGGGTGTCCTCTGGTGGCTTCCCAGGGCTGCTCCTGATGCTGCCTCTCCACACCTGGCATCTCCGCTGAGCTCTCCCTGTGGTGGCCGTGGTCGCATCCTCACTGCCGGGAGCGAAGTCCTTTGGGGCCCGGGAGGGCCAAGGCACAGGGCAGGCTGGGTGCCGCTGGGGACCCCTCACCTGCTGGGACCAGGCACAGCCTGTCCCGAAAAAAGCCAGCACAGCTCGAGCACGAGGGGCTCTGCAGGACCAAAAGCTTCCGATGCCGCTGGCTGGGTCTGGGCAGCGTCCTCCTCAAAGGGGTCACAGCCGTGGGATCTCCAGCGCCGGGCGAGACCCCAATAACCCATGGTTTGTTTCGTTTTTGCCTTTTTTTCTCCTCTAGCAAGCTCTGTGCAGAGCCCCTGCAGCCCACGCGTTTCATGCCCCCTGCAAATTCCGTTTCCAAGCAAGCACAAGGCGAAGGCGATCCAGCCGCACGTGGGGACGCCCTCTGTGCGCCCCAGAGCCGGGGGGGGGGGGCTCCTCGGTGCCACCCCCGCCTGCATCCACCAGCGGGTCTGGCCCCTCCGCAGCAGCTTTTGGCAAGCGGGGACCTGGCTTTGCCACGGCAGCAGCTGCCCGCGAGGCAGCTCAGGGCGGTGGTCGGCCGGGGGGGGGTCTGCTCGTGCCCCCCCCGGGAGGAGCTGGGGGGGTCGGTCAGGCGTGCAGCTCGCTGAGCCGCTTCTCCTCCTGCATCTGGATGAGGGCGTTGCGCTTGTTCACCACGTCCAGCAGCTGTGCCAGGGTCTCCTTCTCGGCCACGCAGTCTTCGGCTGTCTTCAGGGCTTCTGCGGGAGCAGGGGGCTGCAGTGGGGCCGAGGTGGGGGGGGGTCCCAAGCCTGGCCCCGCTCCCCCCCCATCCCGCACGGGCACTTACCCTCCTTTTCCATGTACCAGCGCAGCTTCTGGTCCAGCTGCCACTGCTGCTCCTCCAGCTTCAGCTCCTGTACCCTGCGGGGAGGGAAAGGGGGGTTCTGGGCATGGGGTCTGGGATTTTGGGGTGGTCCCAGGCAGCCTTTATCTCCCCCAGCCTTACGCAATCATGAGGTCTGACTCCTCGGACATGAGGCTGTTCTTCTTCTGCACCAGGTACAGCAGCTGGTTCATCCACTGCGTCTTCTGGTCGGCTGGGCTGCCTGTAGGGGCAACAAGAGGGGGGATGAGTGGGGTGCAGACCCCAACCTTGGGCACCACGGGGGCCCCGGCGCCCTGTCCTTACCTCCCTCATCCCGGAGGAACTTCTCCAGCTTGATGCCCTGCTGCTCCAGCTCGCGGAAGGTCACTTCGATCTCCTCCAGCCGCCTCTGGATGGCCTGCGAGGGGAGGGTGGCAATCAAATGAGGTCCAGAGCATCCCGGTGTATGGGATGGGGATGGGGATGGGATGGGGATGGGGACCTGGCTCAGCCCACCAGGGCTACCTGTGCTTTGCAGAACCGCTTCATCTGTGCCTCCCGCACCCGGCGGGGCAGCGTGCGCTTGCAGGTGGCGTACTTCAGGTCCCCGAGGATCGGGCACTGCAAAGGGACGCAGGGGGTCAGGCAGGGCCAGCCCCAAAACCTCGGCATCAGGCCAGTGAGAGCCCAGTGGGGTCACTGCTGGTTGGGGACAGCACTCACAGACTCCCCTATGGTGCCCAGGTCCAGGCCTTCCTCCTCCTCTGCCTCCTCCTCCTCCTCCTCTTCCTCGCTGTCACTCTCCTCTGAATCTGCACCACCCCAAAAATAAAAGCTGTTTCAGGATGCCTGGCAGCAGTGGGGCAGGGCAGGGTGCAGGAGGGCCCCGGAGATCCCAGCGGGCAGCCACCCACCTTCCTCCATGTCCACCTCGTGGTCCTCCTCCTCCTCCTCCTCCCAGGCAGCCAGCCCCGGCCGCAGGGCAGGCAGGGCCTCGGGTGCCGCTTGCAGCCGCAGCCGGGCTGGTTTTGGGGGCGCCTCGGCCTCAGCATCCCCGGTGAGGCTCAGCGTGGACAGGCTGAGCTTCTCCAGGGGCGAGAGGACGATCTTCCTCCTGCCTCCTCCCTCCTCAGCCTCCTCTGCCTCCCGTTGGGGCTCTGCGCCGGGACCCTCGTCCTCCTCCGGGACATCATCCTTCCCCGAGGGTGCCACCTCCTGCTCCTCCACCTCCCCGGTGTCCGCAGCATCCTCCTCTGCCCCGGGTTCTTCCCCCAGCTCTGGGGTTGCCGGCGGGGAATGCGGGGACCCGAGCACCTCCTCGCCCTCAGGGGACGCACAGGGGCTCTCAGCATCCGAAAACGTGGGGTTGGCATTGACATCCTAGGGCGAAGCCAGGGGTGGTGCACCGTGGGGCCAGAACGAGCAGCCACCCCTCTCCAAAATTTATGGGGCCCGATTTCACCTATGGGGATTTACGGCTACTTACCCCATCGGGCAGCACCGGGGGCTCACTGGGGGGCATATCCATACCGGGGGCGTTGGGGTCGTGAAGCAAGCAGTAAAAATGACCTGGAGCGGGGGCACGAGCGTGTGACGAGCGAGCAAAGAGATTGCAGAGCGGAAAGCCACCCGTCCCCAGCACCCCGTCCCCAGCACCCCGACCCCAAGCCCTGCTCACCGTCCTCCTCGTGGAAGGCGTAGTCGCCCAGGCGCAGCGTGGCCCCGCACTGCCAGCACTGGAAGCAGCCCCGGTGGAAGAAGTGCCCCTCGGCGCTGGCCCTCTCCAGGATGTAGACGCGCCGGCCGCAGAAGTAGCAGGCGTCGCTGCTCTCCCCACGGGACGGCGGCTGCAGGAGGAGAGAGAAGGTTGTGGGGGCACGGGGTGACGGCACCCACCCAGCCCCTGGGGCTTTGCGGGTGCCGGGGAGGGGGGCATGGGGTTTTGCGCCCCTCTCTGCTCGCTGCTGGCACCACGCAGGGAGCGGCAGGACTCGGCTCCGGAAAACCAGTTGGGTCAGGAAACTCGCAGGGAGGAGCAGGCAGCCCGTGGGCGGCCGCTTGCGCAGCGCCGGTCCCAGCCCTTGGCTTGTGCCCATGAGCAGGAGGAGCCGCGGTGCCCCCACCCCCGGTGCCCACCCCGAGGGTCCCCTCCCCGGGGCAAAGCGAGGACCAACCTGCGCGGGGTCCACGGTGGCGGCTGGTGGCTGGCTGTGGTCACCATCCAGAGGGTCTCCGTCCAGTGCTGCGTCCACCTAAGAGCGTGCCAAGGTGGGGGGGTCAGCACTCGTTGCCCCATCATGGGTTGCACCCCCCTGGAGCATCCCTCGTGGTGCACGGTGCGGACCCACCTCGGCGTCCCTGTGGAACTTTTTGGCCTCGGGGTCCTTCTGGGCGCTCTCCTGCCGACACAAACGGGGGGCTCGGAGTTGGGGGGGCACGGCCGTGGGGTGCCACGAGGGGCTGGGTGGTGCTGGGGTGCTCACCTGGGCACGTTTGTGGGTCAGGGTGCGGCTCTTCTGCAGCTTGCTGAGGAAGAGGATGGCGCCCCTCGTGCCGCGGGGGGACAGCGGCTTCCTGCTCACCTCCGCCGACTGCTGCGCAGAGGGGACGTGCTGGGGACGCACCCTGACAGCAGGCAGCACCCAGCTGGCCCCGGGGGGGGCGCTCAGGGTGGGATAAACCCCCCCGAAATCCCTCACCTGGAGAAGGTTTGAAGGCTTCATAAAACTGGCTGAGGTAGGTGATGAGCCCCAGGCGGTCGGGCTCTGCCATCGAGGCCATTTCGGTGCTGGAGAGGACGGGTTGGATGCCCAGCTCCTGCTCCGCCGTGTCCAGCATCAGCTGGTGGATCCCGACGGGATCCTGGGGGTCCACGGCGTGGAAATCCCTGCGGGGAGGGTGGGCGCCGTCAGGGTGAGCTCTGCAGGGCGGGGGTCCCGGGGGCCGGGCACTCACACCAGGTCGGGGCGGAATCGGTGGACGAGGGCGCAGAGAGCCAAGCCGCTGGTCCAGGAGCTGGTGAAGTCGGTGACCTCCACGCCGCGGTACCCGGCCGTGCTGGCCTGGCACCACCGCAGCAGCTCCTCGTAGGCGTCTCCGGAGACAGCTGGGGAGGCAGCACACGCGTCCCCATCCCACCCTGGGGACACCCCCTCCGCAAAGCCCCCCTCCCTCAGCTTTAAATGCAGCCCCCCGGGGACCGCCCCCATGCAACCTCCCCACCCCAAAGCCCAAGGAGCGGGTTGATGAAGCCCCCGTGGGTAGTTTCATGGCTCGGCACCAGAAGGAAGGGGACACCTCCTGCTGTTGGAGAAGGCAGCGGGGGGGCCGTGTCCCCACGGGGGTAGAAGGGACGGATACGAGCGGTGCCACCAGGGATGGAGACGCGGGCGGTGCTGGGAGGAGCGCAGCGGGCAGCCGGGCACCAGCCAGGGCTCCGGCACGAGAGGAGGAGGATGGGGAGGGGAATCAGGGCAGGAGCCGCTCCGCCGTGGGCTGCCAGGGGGGTCCTGGTGGCGGGGAGGGGCTGGGGCAGGACCGATCGCTCCTACCGGTGCTGAGCCGGTTGTCTCTCCTCTTCTTGTGGTCCACCTCCACCGTGCCCACGAGGTAGAGGTCCCGGACCTGCCAGCGGGGACACGCAGGTCACCAACAGCACCGAGATGTTGGCACCGTGCCGGGAGGTGGCCTTGGTGAAGGGGACACCCAGATCCCCCCCCCCAGGCTCCCAGCACCTCCCCAGCACCACCGGCATCCCCAACGGGAAATGCGTTACGCTCCCTGGGGACCCGCAGCCTCAGCCTGACACCCCTGGGGGACAGGGGACCTCATAAACCCGTGCCACCCGGTGTCACCCAGCCCTCGATGGGGGCTAAGCAGGATGGCCGCTCTCCTCCAGTGCCCGAGTGGGGCTGGGAAGCAGAGACCCGGGGTTCTGCACCCCAAAAAAAAGCTCGGGGCCGGGTACCTGGTTGGCTTTGATGGCGTGCAGGTTGATGTTGGGGTAGCGCGTGGCGGGGTCGATGCTGTACTGGCTGACGTTCTTGTTGGTGTTGTCCGGGGAGGTTTGCGAAAGGTGCTGGTAGATGCTTTCCCTGGGCGTGAGGGAACAACGCTGGGTGCCACCGCGGGGACACGGCCCCTTTTTGGCCACCCCACCGAGGAGACAGAAATCCTGATTTGGGATCAGCCCAGCCGGGCTGGGGGGGGGCTCTCACCTCTCGGCCAGCACCTCCAGCGGGGGGGTCCCGGCCGCCCACCGCCGCACCATCCACGCCGCGTCGAAGGCGGCCAGGAAGCCCCTGGCCACGCCGGTGCCCAGAGGCCAGAAGGGCTGCGGAGAAAAAGGGGAAAGAGGGACGGGGCTGGAGAGAGGGACGGGGCTGGAGCCACGCAGCCGGTCGGGGCGGCTGGGAGGAGGCGCGGAGCTGCTGGGCTTGGCCGGAGATGAAAGCGGGGAGAGACAGCGAGACGCGCGGGGAGCGGACGGACAGACGTCTCCTCCCCAGCCCCACGGCTGCAGCCAGACGCTGCCACCGATGCAGTCACGTCTGGGGAGGAGCCGGGCTGCTCCTCCACCCCAAAAATCATCCGGTGGGGATGCAGAAGGGACGACCCCAGCCCCACCAAAGCGTCCCGCTACCGGGCACCCCCAGATGCTCCCGCTGTTGGGGAGCGTGCCCATGGGGACGGGGGCGAGAAGCACTCGGGGATGGGGAACACGGCGCAATAAACGCATCAGGCAGCCCTCGCTGGGCAAGGGGAAACTGAGGCACGGCCCTCACCTCCACCAAGCAGTCGCCCACCAGCCCCAGCAGCAGGCGAGCCCCGTTGTGCTCCCGCACCAGCGCCGCGTTCTCGGAGCGCGTCATGCAGGTGAAGTCGAACATGTCGACGTCGGGCAGGGCCCGGTGGTTGAGGGCGAACTCCAGCTCGGGCAGGCGGTAGTTGGTGGAGAAGTTGGCGGCTTCCTTGGCGTAGCTGAGGAGGGCGTCCCGGTTCACGTTCTCGTCGGCCAGGAGGCTCTCGATGTCCGGTTTGTCCTGCGGGGACGGGGATGGGGATGGGGTGAATGCGGCCGGGCTGCGGGCGGTGGCGTTTGTCCCCCAGCCCAGGGGGACGGGCAGCTCCTGGGGCCGGATCCTGCCCGCCTCACCTGCAGGATGACCCCCTTCTTGAGCAGGCTCTGCTTTTTGGCCGTCATGACGAAGTAGTGGGTGTCGTCCTTGTAGTAGACGATGTTTTCCAGGTCGATACCTGCCGATGGGGAAGGGGCTGAGCGGAGCCGCGTGGGGCCACCAAGCGTCCCCTGCATGGGGGCACCGTGCGGGGACACACATCCCACCCCAGGGGGGACATCCTGGGCGCACCAGGGGATAAATGGGAACCCCCAGGCCCTCCGTCACCGCTCGGGGCCCACCGACCTGTTTTATTGTAGAGGTTTTGGAAGAACTTCTGGTTGTAGATCCGCGCCACGCCGCTGATCTCCGACACCTCCACCTCAGCCCGGCTGTGGCGGTTGATGAAGTTGGTGGTGATGCCGATGGCCACCTTCCCCCGCGTCTCCTTCCTCTTGAACCCCTCGGGGACGAACTTGCCGCCGCCGGCCGAGATGAGGACGTCAAACTCGTAGTGGCTGAGGGGAGAGGAGCTGGGCTGCAGCACAGCCCGCCAGCCGCCTGCGGAGAGGGGGGGGTCACGGCGTCGGGCTGGGCTTTTGGGGCACCATTTGCGCCTCGTCCCCTCCCCGGAGGGCTCAGGGCCACCGCCGCAGCCCTGTCCTTGTCCCCGAGGATGCCACCGGTGCCTTACCCTGGCCGTCCCCCCCGCTGGCGGGGGGCAGGAGGTCCTTGAACTGCACGTTGATGTGCACCTCCACGCCCAGCAGCAGGGCCACCTTCAGCAGGATGAGCTGCAGCTGACGGATACCTGCAGGGGGGGGACAGAAAGCACCGGGAGCTGCGCCCACATCCACGTGCCCCCCACCCCTGGTCCCCGGGGAGCGCCCAGCACCCGACTCACTGATGTGATCCAGCGTGCCGGTGCAGAAGCGCCCGTAAAACTTCTTGGCCCCCAGCGCCCGCAGGTCGTGGATGGTGAAGGGCCAGAGGTGCAGGACGTTGTTGCGGGAGAAGGCGTCGCGCTTCTCCACCAGCACCACGCGGGCGCCCAGCAGCGCCAGCTCGATGGCCACCCGCAGCCCGCAGGGACCAGCCCCCACCACCAGGCACTGCGGAGGGGACGGGCGGTGGGATGGGGGCAAATTTGGGGGCTCAGCATCTCCCCCCCTCCCCGTCCCAGTGCAGGATCCGGCCCTCCCCGCTCCCTTTTCTTGCTGCTCCTTGCAAAGCGGGGGCCCTGCGGGGTGACCCCCCCCCGGCTGAACCTTTGCACGGTGGCGATTTGCAACGGCAGCAATTCAGTGCTGGCCGAGATAAGGCGCCCACACGCTTCCCCTCTGCAGCAGATGGGGAACGGGGAAATTTTCACCAGCATCGGGCTCTGAAGTTTGAAGTGCTGCCAGCCGGGAGGTGACAGCAGGGACAAAAGCTGTCAGGCCTTGGAAGGGCAGGAGGGGAGTCCCCAACCCCAGGGGGACACCCGATGCTGGCACCCTAAGGGCACAGCATGTCCCTCAGCCCCTTCACGCCATGGAGGAGCAGCAGGGCTAACGAAAAACCCCAGCAGCACCCCAAAGGGCACATCCCACACCCTCAGTGTGCGAGTGAGGACGTCCCAGTGGATGCCCTCACCCCAGGGACGTGGCACAGGGCACGGAGGGACCCAAACCCACACCCCACGGCCAGCGGTACCTTGGTGTTGGCGCACGCCGTGCCTTGGTCGTAGTCCTTGTGCCCGGCTTTCTTATCCAGCTTGCTCCACAGGGCCTTGGCGTTCCAGTAGTTGAGGCCAGCCTTGAGGCCGTGGTAGAGCTGCAGCCCGCTGCCCTGCAGCCCCAGCTGCCGGCACAGCTCCTCGAAGCAGCTCAGCACCTCCTGGCACTGCCCGGCCCGCAGGAAGCTCTCGAACAGGGCATGGGCCGGGTTGGCCGGCTCGCCGTCCGGCACGCTCATCCTGCCTCAGCTGGCAGCCTGGTGGGACAACGGGGGTAAGCAGGGACAGCAGGGACAAGCGGGGACAAGCGGGGGACCCCCTGAGCCCCCATCCTTCCCGGGGATGCTGCAGGACCTGGTGTCTCGGCGCGAGGTTTCCCAGCGGGTGCTGCAGCCGTCGCGGACCCCGCGGCGATTTGGGTGAGGGGGACGCCAAAATCTGTCCTCTTTCTGACAGCGCCTGGCTGAGCCTCCTCTGGGTGCTGCACCCAGCGAGCCACGGTGTCACCCTGCAGCGGGTGACGTCAGGGGAGGGGACGGGGACGGCTGCGGGTGGCGAGCGGCTTCCTCTGTGCTGCGCGTACCTGCAGAGCGGGGACGTTTGGAGCAACGAGGCCGCTTCCTTCCTCCTCACAACGGGGCAGCCAAAGGGGCCCCCGGCTGCCAGGACAAACCGCAGGGCCCCCAGTTTAGCAGCTGCCCCAAAAAGCAGCAAAACCCGGCTGCTCAGCACCCACGGGGCAGGAAGGAGCAGGATGGGTTTTGCAAAGCAGCGAGGGGAGATTTGCGCCCACCTCCGCCTCTGCTGCCCCGGCGGGGAGGAAGCTGCCAGCCTCGAGGCGAGCAGGGAGGAAGCAACGAGGGGGGGAAATAAAAAATAAGCAAAGCGCTGCACTGATGGCTCCAGCAGTCGTCATCTCTGCGAGAGCCGGGGTGCAGAGCATCCCCCAGACCCTCCCCGTGCCCAGCTTCTCCCCGTGCGCTCCCTGCAGCCGCCAAGCGCCCGGCGCCGTCCCCAAGCCCCGGTGCCACCGCGAGCCGAGCACCATCCCGTGCCACCTTGTCCTGGCACAGCCCGCAGCACGAAGCTTTGCCCTCTCCAGCCAGCCCCAAACCCCGGGGCTGGGAAATCCTCGCCAAACCCCGGGGCTGGGAAAAAACCTCCCCAGCCCCGCAGAGCAGCCGGCGAAGGCAGCGAGGAGGAGCAGCCCGGTGAAAAGTCTCGCCCAGGAGCCGCCGCGCTCCTACCTTTGAACCATTGAGCTTTGCCCTCACGCGGAGCTCCCCGAAGGCAGCGGCCGGCCCCACGGCTCCGTGGCGAGGTGCCGGAGGGGGGGAAGGACGCCGCAGGGAGAAGGACGCCGCAGCCGAGCCGCGCTGCCTTCGGCAGGGCAGGGAGAGGCGTTTCGGCGCTGGAGAGCCCAAATTCCAGCTGGCTTTCAAGCCCGGTCTCTTTCCAGCAGTGCCTCAGAGGACGCAAAGCGGTTGTGCACCTCCCGAGCATCACAAACAGGAAACCTCAGCATTTTAACCTCTTCCTGCCTGGGCAGACACAAGGACGAAGCAGCCAGCTGGGCTGGAGCAGGTGCCCACGGGTCCCCAGGGTGGCGGCGCGGGGACAAAGGGCACAAGCCACGCGTTCGTGGCAGCGGGGGCAGGTTTCTGAGCATCCCCCGCACGGTGCCAGGGGGAAATAAGGAGCAGAAAAACCTGGGGAAACTGAGGCAGCGCGGCCAACCTGACCGGAGCAGGCAGGCACGCCAGCCCACAGCTTCCTTCCCTCCTCCTCCCCAGGAGGCTGTTCCGGGAGCTGCGGCTTTTCCCCGGGGAGCTCACACCGCCGCAGGCACGGGGCAGGATGGGGGCCATAAAGCACCCACGCGGGGAGCACCCCTTCCATCTCCAGCCCTCGGTTCCCCCCCCCGGGACGGGAGCTCCCCGTGCCAAGAAACTTTTCCAGCCCCTGCACTTTGGGCTCGGCGAGGAGGCAGAACAACAACCCTTGTGTTACGCCAAGTTTCCTACGGAAGCGATGCTCGGGCTGGCGCTCCGCGTCCCCTCTGGCATGCCTGAACCCCCCACGATAATTTCAAGCAAGGGCAGAAACCTCCCCGGATACTCAGCTCCTGCAAATAACGAGCCTGCAGCCCGCAGGGGCTGGTGCCAGCTTTGGGGGCGCACGGTGCTGAGCCTGCTGCCCCCCCAGCTCTGCTCTCCCCACGCCCCGGTGTGACTGCTTTTTGCATTTCTGCCTTCAAAACCGCCCCGGCGAGGCAGAGGGAGGAGGTGGGGGTTGCAGCCAGCCCTGACTCAGCTCGTGGTGGCTCCGGTTGGGGCGGCTGCAGAAACGCAGCCCTCGGGGACGTCACCCGGGGTTGGGGCACGCGGAGCAACCCCACAGCAGGGGTGCCCCGTTTTGCTTACGGGGTCACCCCCCTCCCTTTTCCTCTCCCGCTAGGAAAAGGCAGGGAAGCTGCTGTGGGATTTCTGGGCTGCCAGCAAACAAGACGTGTCCTCCAGGCACATGGAAAGAGGGTGGGAAAGGACACGGGGCCGCGGTGAGCTAATGCGGGCTGGGAGGGTTTCCAGCAGCAGCAGCAGCAGATTCCCTTGCAGCTGGGCCTCTCCCCTCGCTGGTGAGCGGGCTCCCAGTATGAACTGGGCTGCTCTGGGTTTGGGATCCAGCCCGGATCCCAGTCAGGCTGCTCAGCCCAGCCTGGACCTCGGGAAGGTCCCTCCAGGGTCTCAAGGTCGACCAACGCCATGGGGGGGATGGAGCAGCTCTCGGGACCACCCGCTGGGGCAGCCCCAAATCCTGGTTTTGGGGCATTGCACTGCTGCTGGAAGGGACCCCAAACTCCTGGTTTTGGCAACTAGTCCCATGGCACTGCTGCTGGAAGGGGTAAAGGCAGCGGGCAGTGCTCTTCCCATCCCCGTCACCGTGCTCGGGGGGAGCAGTGCCCTCCTCCCCGGCGTGCCTTCGGGCAGGGAGATGGCCCCGGCCAACGCCCAGAAGCCAGCCCTTATCTGGCCCAGCTTTAATCCTTGCAGGAAGGAGAAAAATCAGGCGGCTGCTCCAGCTGGAGCCGGGTCGGGGGGTGTGTGGGCACGTCCTGGCCGAACCCGTGGCTCGTGGCAGCTCCGGGCACTGCAGCAGTGCCCGAGACCCCCTCATTCCCCGGGGTGCAGCTGCTGGGAGAAGGGTGAAAGACAGGGACAGACCCATCACTGGTCACAGTGAGGGGCTGGCTGCTGCAAAAAAAAATCCCTGGGAAGCTCATGCTGAAAGCCCTAGGGTACCAAAATCCCCAAGGAACCAAAATCCCCAGGGTACCAAAATCCCCAGGGTACCAACCACGGGCAGGTCCCAGCTGCAGCTCCTGTGCGCAGCAGGGCGCCCTTCTCGGGGCATTTTGGCACCGTCCTTTGCAGGGGATCCCCAAAACCACAGCCCAGCCCCATCAGAGGTGGTCCAGGGGTGTCACTCCCCCAGCCTTTGAGCTGCTCGGCACCAGGGGCTCGCCTTCGTCCCCCCGCTCAGCGCCACCCCCTCGGGGCGCGCAGAAGGAGCTGTGCTCAGGAGGAAGTCAGCGAGCAGCCAGCCCTGGTGTCTCTTTCCTCCTCCTCCTGCTTCTCCTTCATCTCCAGCCCCAGCTGTCCCCGTGGGGCCATCTGACCGCGGCCAAGGGTACGGGGACAGCTCTGTCCCTCTCCTTGACGCAGTTTCGCACCGACAGACGTTTCCGGGAAGCCTCTCGCTTGGGCTGGGCAAAAATAACTCAGCCCGGCCTCTGCTCCAGCCTCCTGCTGCTGGGGATGCTCTGCCTCCGAGCAGCAGCAGCTGTGCCTTGGGGGGACGGCGGGCTCGTGAAGCACCCCAAAAATTGGGGCTGGGACCACCAGGGATGGGGGCACAATAGGGGGTGGAGGGAGATGGAGCAGAGGACCACACGGAGCATCCTCCTGGGATAGGGGGAAGCCCCTGTCCCTTTGCAAAGCTCTTCCTGCTCGGTGCTGGGAGCACTGGTGCTACTGGGGAAGGGTCCAAAAGGGGGGGGCTGCTCCTTTTGCCCTCTGCCCCGTGGTGGCAGAGCAGAGGGGCTGCAAGCGAGGACCGGGGGGGACCCCGCTGCCCCTGGGGACACTCAGAGGGGCTTCATGGAGACCCTTCGGGGGGACCCAAAGCACCCCCACCGCCACCGAGCAGCCCCACACGGCACCCTGGGGACCGCTGCTGGTGCGCCCCTCCAGTGTGTGCCCCCACCCCAAAATCACCCCTCGGGGGTTCAGCAACTGGCAGAGCGATGCTGGTGGAGGGGATGCTGTCCGGGATGTCCCCTGGGAAGGGGACATCGGGGGTGCTCCCCCCTCCTCTCCCACCCCGGGGATGCTCTGCCCGTCCCCTCCCCACTCACCTCCAGGGCTCCGCGCTCGGGGAAACTGAGGCACGGCGCGGGGCTGGGGCCGGGGGCGGGCAGGAAGGGGCTGCCCCGTTCCCTCCCCTCTCCTCCCGCTTCCCTGGCCTCTTCCTCCTCCTCCTCCTCCTCCTCCTCCTCTTCCTCCCCCTCCCCACCGCGGGTCCGGGCTGCTGGAAGGCGGCGCTGGGAACAGCCCAGCCGAGGAGAGGAGGGGCAGGGCGGGCGCGGGGGCTGCCCGGCTTTGTGCTGCTGCCTTTTTTTTTTTTTTTTTACTATTATTTATTTATTTTTAACTGCAAGCGTGGGTTTTGAGTGCAGTTGCGGAGGCTGCAGCGCCGGAGCTCCTTCCTCCTCCTCCTCCTCTTCCTCCCTCCCCTCCCCAGCCTGGGGGTCCCAGCCCCGCGCAGGGATGCGCAGCGCAACCCCTGCCGCGTTTTGGACTTCTGGGCTGAGAAAGCAGCCTTTTGGCAAAGCAAAACACAAGATTGCACCGCTGAAACACACCGTTTCGCTTCCCATCCCCTACTTCCCTCCTGCCCCCAGAAATAGAGCCTGGGAACCAGGTCCTGCTCCGCGCAGGGGGACGCGCTCAGCCCTGTCCCCAAATGAGCTCCCCGCGTCCCCAAGCGCTGCTGCCCTCGGGGAAACTTTGGGGACAAATTTTCCACCTTGGACAAAGGACCCCAGGGGTGTGACCGTACCTTGGGGCAGAGGATGGAACCGCTGGGTCACCGAAGGTTGCTCCTGGCCGGGTGTTTTGGGGGATTTGTCCAGCGGTGGCCTCCTCGGGGTGCTGCTGGCCGCTTGCCCCATACTGGGGCAAGCAGCTGGGCGAAGGGGCTCGCGGGGCGGTGACGCAGGGTGACAACCTGCCACGAGGCTTCGGTGACTCAGGGACACGGGGCGAGCTGGCACACGGAGCCAAGGCTACGTCGGCAACCCGTGAGTCACTCGCGGCACTGCCTGCGGCCACGGGGACGCGGGACAGCCGGCCCAACACCTCCATCCCTCCTCCCCGCAGCCCTTTGGGGTGTCCTCACGGGGGTCCTGGTGCAGGACCCTCACCCACAGCCTCCCCATAACCAGGCTGGGGTGTTTCGAGCCCCCCAACCCCGTGCAAATCCCCCGGGTGCAGGCACGGCGGAGCCCACCCGCGGCTCGGAGGCGCGAGAGGCCGGGGCGGACACGGAAATGGGGCGGCTGCGGAAAGCTGGGCACTTTTCCCAGGCACGGGAGCTGTCGGAAACAGCTCCCTCTGTTTGCAAGCCCTTCCTGGCGCTACGAACACGGCTCGCCGCTCCTCGGCTCCTTCCAGGCGCAGGTTTTTTTTCCCCAGGGGGGAACTTGCTGGGAAGCAGCACTCGCTTTTGATCATGGTGGCAGAAGAAGCAGAGGCACACAGCGACGGCTGCTCTGCAGGGCCCCAGGAGTGCCCACACCAGGGCTGGGGACAGGGACGGAGGTGGTGGTGGCCCCCAAAACGTGGGGAGGAGGAGAGCAGCAGCAGCTTTTGGTGATGAGTGCCCCCAGGGAGCAGGGAGCAAGGGTGTGCCACCGCAATGGCACAGCAGGGACACAGCTCTAATGCCAACCTGCTGGCCCCAGGCAGCCTGGTTTGTGTCCCCAGGGAAAAGGGGACACGTGGGCACATCCCCATAGCCCTCAGCGTGCCGTGAGAACCAGGAAACTCCTGGCAGGGATGGGGGCTGCTGCAGCTTCGTGCCCGCAAGCTGGCTCCAGCCCCCCTCAGCTCCTAGCACAGGGCATCGCCCCCTGCTCCATCCAAAAACTCCCCAATTCTGCCTCCGATTTTATTTCTCTAGGGTCTCTGTGTTTCATGGCGGGGGGCAGGAGCAGTGATGGAGAGCGGGTGCCCCCCAGCCGCCTCCCCCCCGCTGCAGCTAGGCCTTGGGCGACGCCGCGGGCTGCAGCCGCTGCAGCTCCAGGACGCGGAGGAGGAGGAGGAAGGCGACACTGAGGAGAAGCAGCCAGAACAAAACCCAGTAGTGCTGCGGGAGGAAGAGCCACGGCCGCCACAGCTCCGCCGGGGACCCCTTGGACCTGGGGAGAAGGTGACAGGGGACGCTCATCACCCTAAAGTGGCCCCAGCAGGGATGAGGGGCCCTTTTGCAAACCCCAAACAAAATGAGGCTGGGGAGGGCGCAGGTGACCTGCAACACACGGGGAAACTGAGGCAGGGGCAAGATGAGGCAGCCACAAACCATCCCTGCTCTCCGTCCCCAAGCTTCCCAGCTCCATCCCCACATGCCGACCACTTTGGGACCACAGAGCCCCCCCCAAAGGCTGCAGGGAGGACGCGGGGTGCGCTCACATCAGCCCAAGCTGCTCTGGCTCCTCGCTCCCTGCGCTCGTGTCCTTGCCATCTGCCCCAGCCGCCGGCTCCCCGCTCACGGTGCTGCCCCGGCCCGGTGGCTCCAGCTCGCTCCTGGGGAGGGAGAAGGCAGGAGGCTGTGCTGTCCCCCGTGGGACAGTGACAGACGGTGCCACGGTCCTCTCATCACCCTCTGGGTACCTCTGGGTGCTGGCCGGGCGCTGGGACCCCTCCGGCTCGCTGGCAGGGGACGCTCGGCTGTCCGTGCTGGCACCTGGCTGGGCACAAAAAGGGGGGATTTTGAGCAGCCCCCCGATGGCACCGAGCCCGGTGGTGGGGAGCAGCCCCCTCCTGTCCCCGCTGTGCTGTGCGGGTCCTTACCAAGAGCTGCTTGGGGATGACGGCGATGCTGACTCTGCGGCGGGCAGACGCCTGCGGGGAAGCGAGGGGCTGCGGTGAGCATCACGCCCCCTCCCCGCGCCCCCCAGCCCCTTCTCCCACCTCCCCACCACGGGCAAGGGGGCACCGAGGAGGAAGAGGAGGAAGGAGGAGGAGGAGGAAGGACCCTGCCAGCCTCCCGCCAGCCCTGCTGCTATGGGGGAAAGCCGGTGAGGAGAGGGAAAGGCAAAGCCAAGAGCATCGTGCCCATCGTGCCTGTCCTTGCTGCTTCAAGCCGTGCCACCGGGGCTGCCTGACCCCTCCCCGAGCGCTCCCCTACCTCTTGAGCTGGAGGGGAACCAGTGCCGAATTCGAGCTGGTGCTAGAGAACGGCCTCCTGCCAGCCAAGCCCTGCAACGCAGAGGGACCTGCCTGAGACATCCCGGACACCATCTCCCCCGTGGCCGCCCCTAATTTTTGCCCCCCATCCCCGGTGTTTCTAGCAGACCTCGCCCGCAGCAAGCGGCTAGGAAGGGTGGTGCTGCCCGGGGGGGTGGCGGGTGCGCGGGGACAGCCGGGTGAGGGACGGTGGCAGGGCACGGGGACGATGGCTGGGGGCTGGCAGCGGGGCTGCTGCGCCCGGTTACCTGCTGGAAGGATCGCATCAGGGGGTGAGGCCTCAGCCGTGGCTCCGCGTCATCTGGGAGCAAGGAAAAGAAGTCTTAGGTTGCCTCCAAAATACAAAAATAAAAATAAAAACGGGGGCTGATGTGCAGGAAAATGCAAACGTCCCCCCAATTGAAGGCGAGCAGGGCCCCGTGCCCCATGCCTGGCACGAGTCCCAGGGGTGCCCTCGCTGGGGAGACCTCGCTCGGAGTGTGCGTGGGGTTTGCAGGGCCGGGGGCTGGGGACAAAGTGTCCTTTGTGTGCCCCCCCCGCCCTGCATTCCCCGCTGAGCCGCGGGCTGACGGCTCTGCGGCCACCAGCAGCTGCTCCCACCCCATGGCTGCCGTTCCGGGGCCCCTCGTGCTTGTCATCGGGTCGGGTGGCTGCGGCCCCAGCTGTCACCCGCCCCCGTCCCCGTCCCCAGACCGCGCACCCGAGGGGCTCGGGACCAAACCCCGCAGCCCACCTCACCCTGGGTCTCGGCCAGCTGCCGGTTGCGGGAGTTTTGCTGGATCAGGCGCTTCATCTCCTCCAGCTCGGCGTGCTCCCGCAGGTGGTGCCGCTTCAGGTTCTCCACGTGCTGGACCATCACCTCCGCCGCTCGGCTCATCCGCGCCTCCTGCAGCCGGGGGGCACGGGCCATCAGGTCCCAGCTCCTCTGTCCCTACAGCCCCCCGCTGTCCCCACCAGCCCCGGGGGCCGACAGCGGTGCAAACGGATCCCTTACACACATCCAAGGGTGAGCAGATCCCTTGCACCCCAGCGTTCCCAAGCTGGATTCCCACACCAGCAGCAGGAGGAGCACGGACAGACCCCAGCGGTGCGTCCCCAGCACCCTCCACCCCCCCCGGGTGATCACCGACCTGATGAACGGCCCCCAGCTTCTCCGCAGCGCTCGTTGCCCGCTCCACGGCGGCCGCCAGCACGGCCAGGCTGTGCTGCAGCTGCTCCAGCGTCTCCTTGCAGCCCACATCCGAGCAGGATGCGCCCAGCCTCTGCGGGGGGACAGGGGGAGGATGGGGGCTGCTGTAGACTGAGGCTTCGAGTCCTCCAAGCCCCTCTGGAGCTGGAGGTCCCCGGCAGATGCCAGCTTGCCCCGGTGCCGCCTACCTCCAGGGCAGCCCGGCACTGCCCCAGCTCCTCCTGGATGTTTTCCTCCGCCGCATCCCGTGCTCGCTTCTCCACCTGCACCCGTTGCCGCAGGGTGAAGACGTCGCAGCGAAAAGCCAGGGCAAGGTGGGCAAAGGCTGCCTGGGGGGCAGGAGGGCACACAGGTGGGACACGGGACAACGGGAAGGCCACGGACCATTGTCCCCACGGCACAGCCAGTCCTCCTTTAGCATGTCACCAAGCGGGGCTGTGCTGAGGGCAATTAGCAGTTGCCTTTCCCCAGCACTCATTAGGCTGTGGGCAGCCCCCAGGAGATGCCACGGGCCTTAGACACAGCCCCAGGCAGCTGATAACGCATGGAAATCCCAAACCCTGCTGGCAGGAGCGTGCCAGGCAGATGCCAGCCCTCGCAGCCAACACGCCGGACAGCAGAGCCTGCCTCAAGCCCTGGCACTCACAGGACAATTAGTTTTATTAACGTGGCTTCTGCTGCCTCCCTGGCTGAGGGCGAGCTGCAGAGCACTTTGCAGGACTGCGGGCGCGCAGAGGTCGGGCTCGTCTCGCCACGGAAATGCAGCTGCCTCCGAGTGCCAACAGCGTCACCGCGAAAGGGACTCGTGCAGCGGCTGCCAAGGGACTGCGGTGCCAGGGCTGGGCGCACGGCATCCGTCCCCTGTCCCTTGTCCCCTGTCCCCTTTCCCCAGCCCATCCCCAGGCCCCCAGCAGTCCCTCACCTCCACGTCCTGCTCCGTCAAAGCCACGCTGTGAAAAGAGAAGCGCTGTCAGGGGTGGTGGCACCAGGGGGCTGCACGCCGAAAACACGCTTGGGCTGCTCCCTCGGGTGCCAGCCACTGCCAGAATTGGGACCCCCGCCTGCAGAGCGGCTCTCGTGCCATGGGAAGCCCCATCCCCTGGAGCACGCCATGCCCCGGGACCCCCCCCACCCCCGTCCTGCAGCCCCCCAGCAGCGATGCCGGTGCTCGCCCCTTTTACCTCTGCAGGCCCAGTCTCTCCAGCACCGGGAGCTCACCGGGGAAGCTCAGCAGCGGCTCCTCCAGGGTTTCTGCATCTGCGGGGAGGCAGTGACACCACTGGAGAGACTGCTCATGGAGGCTTTTGGGGTGCTTCTCCTCCCCCCTCTACCCTCCTGTCCCAGCGTGAGAACGTCCCGATCCCTCCCCCAGCACCAGCAGGGTTTCACATCCCCCAAACCAGTCCCCAGGGTCTCCACCACGGGAGACAAACCCCATAGGATCCCAACACCCCAAACACTTCAAGCCCCACCACGAGGGGACCCAGCCCAGGACCCGGATGGGGACTCACCTTCCTCGGTGCCGTCACTGTCCCCGGTGCGCACGGCCAGCTCCTGCCTGTCCTTGCCCGGCTCCTGCGGAGGGGGACAAGGGTGCTGTCGGAGCAACCCCCTCCTGGTGCTGGACGGCATCCCAAAAAGAGCATCACCGCGTGGCTCCGGGGGCCCGAACCCAGCACCCTCCCGTCCCTCTCACCTCACTGACGCGCTCCGTGCTCTGCTCACTCCCGGCCACGACCCCGTCCGGGTGCCCCTGGGGACTGCTCATCCTCCCTGGGGACAGAGAGGGTGGTGGCAGTGTCCCCTTGCCAGCCTCGCACCAGCCTTGATGGAGACCCCCCAAAAAAACAAAAACTCCAGGAGTTTCCCAGCAGGCACAGGCTGGCAGGTGTCCCCCCTAAATACCTCCACATTTTTAAGGATGTCCCCAGCACTCACGAGCAGCTTTAGGGGACCCCTTCACGCTCCCCAAGCTGGAGGGGGCATTGAGATGCAGGGAGAGGGGCCCCCTTCCCAAATCCACACGATGCTGCTCAGGAGGGTGCATGAAACAACCCCTCTCCCCCCATCCCCACTGCCCTTACCTTCATCCGGAGACGCGGGGAGCCCGGCCGGCTCTGCCTGCTGCTCCCTGCGGAGAGGAGCCCGAGTAAACCCCAAAGAAACTCCACTAAACCCCAAAAAAACTCCAGAGGGAGAGCCAGCATCCCACCCCCACGCTGCCCCGCACCTGGCTCCTTCCCGAGCATCCTCCCCAGCCCGCTCCGTCCCCGCTGGCCCCAGCAGGGGCTCAGCCTCCCCCTGTCCCTCCGCTCCCGCAGCCGCTGCAGAGGAGCCGCCGAAGCCGCTCGCAGCCAGCTCTGAGTCACCGGCCCGCGGCCGCGCTCCTCCTCAGCACATTTATTGCGCCCCGGCTGCCAAGCTGGCCTCTTCGCAAGCACAACGGCACACGCAGCTGCTGGCAGGGCCCCCAGGAGTCATCTCGTGTCACCGCGGTGGGGACAGAGGGCTTCAGCACGCGTGCACGCTCCCCAAAATCCTGTCCTGGGTGCAAGGAGGTCCGGCAGCTCTGTAGCATCCCTGCTCGGTGGGGCCGGGGATGCTGGAGCACCCACACGTGGGAATTAAGGGGCTGCTGTGCAAAGAGCTCGTGCCGGAGCCCAGCGTGCAGCTAGAAAAGGGGTTTGCACCCCCAAAATTTGCTCCAGGCTCCTGGACAGGGCTCAATGGAGCTATTCCCTGCGAGTCAGTCCCCAGGATTAGCAAGCAAAGGGCAATAATAATAATTTCTGCTGCGCCCAAATGCCGCCCGGTGCCACCAGCCCCATGGTGGCCCCACTGGCACCCGCCAGCCCCCGGTGCCCCTACCTGTGAGCTGGGGGGCTCTGCCGGCAGCCCCTCCTGTGCCGCTGCCGTGCCGCACGCCCCTGGGCACGTCCCTGCGCCTCTTCCCCCGCGCCCGGCGAGGTCCCCGCGAGCGGCTTCATTTGCACAGTGCGGAGGCTCCAGGACCAGCACACCTATCACGAGAGACACATATTAGCTGCGCGCAGATGGGAGAACGCCTCTAAATGTTATATTTTTAAAGCGTTTTCGCACCCAGCAGGAGCTCCGAGCTCCTCTGCTGCTTCAGCGTGGAGGCATCTGTGGGGAAAGGGGTGGAGGGGCCCCAGCGGGACGCGGGGGGGATGCTGCTGGGACGCGCACGGGCACAGGGAGAGGAGAGCGAGGGATTTATGGCGAGCCACCTCTCAATACAACACTGAGGGCAGATTTTCCCCTTGCTACCCCCATTTTCCTGCCCCTCGTGGTCTCTAGCATCAAGGACATGATCCTCAGCTCTCCATGGGGTATATTTGCACCCCCTGCCAGCCTGGGCACCCCGTGCAGAGCGGGGGCATCCCGCTGTGCCCCAGGCTGGGGGCGCTCCGAGCAACCCCGCCTGGCAGACTCCTGGATAGATAAATAGAAGGGATTCCCAATTCCTTCTGTAAGCAAGCCCGGATGCCTCATTTAAGTTGTTTTGCAATGTTTAAAAAACAGAGAGAGAGACGGCAGAGAGCCCGGGGAGTCGCTGCCAGCCCATGATGATCGCCGTGCAGAAGGGGCTCTCCTGCAGGACGCATGTCCTGGGGAGCTTTGCCTGCAGGAACGCAGCTATGGGGCAGAAGGAAATTATTTTATTTTATTTTGCCAGGACAAAACGCAGCAGAGATTTAAGTGGGCAAAGAGCAGGGACCAGCTGAGCCCCCTCCAAACCTGTGCAAAGCCTCAGCCTCAGTTGCCCCCGCACCAAGTGGGACAATTCTGCTTCCCCCAGAGCCTGCCCAGCCTTGATCTCGGCGTAAAAGCGAGCGATGCTCCACAACGTCAAATCCTTAACGCCTGTCGGCTGGGAATTGTCCCCAACACCTCTGCCTAGGGGTCCGGGGAGCCCCCAGGAATCCCCTACCTCATCCCATCAGCGAGCATCGGGTTTTTCCCGAGGGATGGCCCCCACTGCAGAGCGTTTGCTCGGTGACAGCCGCCGCAGCCCCCGCGGTTTGCCCGCTCGCAGCTCCTCATCTCTCTCTGTTTTACGGCTGCAAATCCAGAGGCAGGCGGCTCGCTCGCACAACGGGGCACAAACATAACCCCCCAGGCAGCCAGACCCAGCTCTCTCTCAGCTCGGGGACTTCAGTTACCTGCCCAAATCCGTCCCGAGCAGCCCACGGCTCGCACCCAGCCCTCGGTGCAGTCGGGTCCGCGGGAGGGGGCCAAGGGGGGCGGCTCAGCCGGCGGGTCCGGGGCCCCAGGCGGTGCAAGCCGGCGGCGGCAGAGCCTCCTCGGAGGGGAGAGCGACTGCATCTGGAGCTGAAAGAGCTGCCAGGGAATGGCTTGAAGCAAGAAGGCCTTTAAAGGACATGCCCGAGAGCGGCCGGGAGCTCCCCGCTTGGGGCCAGGGCAGGCTGAGCGCCTCGCAGGTGGCCGCGCATCCCCTGCTCGGGGCACGGGGCCCAATCCTACGGCCTCTAGCAGGGGGGGAGAGCAGCTCTCCGTGGCTGGGGAACGGAGCTGGGGCTCAGCATCAGCCCCCACAGCAGGCTCAGGGTCCCCGTGGAGATGGGGGCAGCCCTACACCTTCATGGGGGGGCACAGCACGGAGCTAAACCAGGATGGGTGGCGAGGAGCCCCCATAGTGATGTGTTCAAAGCCCCGTCCCTCCTGCCCCTACCAGCAGCCCTGTTTCCCCCAGCCATGAGCCCCACTGCCCCTTTCTCTGCCCAACCCCTCTGCTCAAATCCATCGCATCCCCTAAAGCCGCTTTCTTCCCCTAATGAGCTTACGTGGAGTCGGACTCGATGCTCACAGTGGGCAGCCTGCAGGCAGGCATCGCCGTCAGCCCTCCCCCTGCCCCTGCTGCAGGTCTTTGGGGTCTGCAAATCCCCCAAAGCCTCAGAGGGCAGCCAGCAAACGGGGCAGGGCTGGCCTGGCCTCGTACCCAGCTGCTGAGGGCCCAGGATGCGGCCCCGGGGCCAGGGAGGGCTCGGAGGGAATATTTGAGGCTTTGAAGCAGGAGCTGTGCGGTGCCACGGTGGGATGAAGCTTTTGAAATGGCCACCAGCAGCTCTGCCCCACCAGGATAGGGTCTGCAAATTCCCCTGGAGCTTCATGGAGGTGTTTTTTGTTTTGTTTTGTTTTCCATCCTGGGGCAAAGAAACCCTGCTTGGCCCTGACCCCACAGCAGAGCTGCTGGGAAGCCGTGAACCAGCTTAGGGGAGGGACAGCCCCAGCTGCCCCCTGCCTTCCCTGCAAGGCACCTACCTAGCGACACAAGCAGTGGTGTGCATGATTAGCACCAATTAATGCCAATTAGCACCTTGTAAGCTCACACTGCCAGCCCCAGGAGCTGAGCAGGGGCAGTGTGGGTGAGGGAAATAGCCACAGCCGTGCCCCAGGGCAGACTGGCATCGGCACCCTCTGCCTCATACACCCTTCAAAGGCCTCCCCTAGGATTCCCCCTTTTCCCCATCTCTCTGTGCTGCTTGCTGCCCATCTCCAAGAGTCTCAGGGTGCAAGGGCTGGGCACTGGGGCTGGTCAATCCCACTTCCTAGGGGATTTTCTGAGACCCGCTGTGAGCAGAGGTCACTGCTCTGAGCTGTGGGAGGATGCTCGGGGCTCGCAGTGGCAGGGCCGGACCCATCCCACTGGTGGTACCACCAGAGGCAGCCAAGCCAGGTGTCAACAGGGGTGATAAACCAGAGCAGCAGAGCTTTCCCCCTCACCTCTAAATTTGGGAAGGCAGAAGAAGTCTCCAGGCACAGTCAGGTTTGCACAGGCAATGCCGATCCCATTGCTAACCCATTGCTAAGGGCAGACCCAGGCACCTGCCTGCTTCATGCAGTACCATTCCCCTCCTTGCTGGGCTCCTTGCTGTCAGCATCACACGAGGGGCTGCTTGGGCACGTGGGTCTAACCTGCATGGTTTGGTGCTGATGCTTTTTCTTGTCTCTCCTCGACACTGCCTGCAGCCAGGACACACACAGTGGGGCACGGGAGTAAAAGGGGGCAGAGGGTGGAAGCTCAGGGGATGGAGGACGGACACCCTGTATATACCAGTGCCTTCCCATTGGCACAGCCTCATTAACCAGCCCTCATTAACCAGTGCAGCCTGCTGGCCTCATCCCTGCAGGCGCCCTCCTTTCCCCCCAGGAGCAGCAGCCTGGCCCTGGGCCTGGCACACTGCCCTCCACAGCCTCTGCCCGAGCCTCCTCGCGGGTCCACGGTTGCAGAAAGCAGCTCTGACGGACACACAGCCCTAAAAACACCACCACCTCAGTTCCCCACACCAGAAAAGAGCTTTTCTGCCTAAAAGCTCCTCTGTTGCCCACCCACCCCCACGCCAGGGGGTCTGAAGAGAAACGCCACCCCTTTATGCAGGCCGTCGTATTCACAGAGCCTCTACCAGCATTTGCTAGAAGCACCCAGGGACTTTTATTTATTCTTATATTTCAACCTGGGAGCGCCTCTATCACAGTTAAGCTCTAGGGCCTTAAACAAGCGCAAGCAGCCCCACGCACAGACCTGCTGAAGGATGACGCAGAGCGAGACCCTTGCTGGGACATCTCCAGCCCCGAGAGCTGAGTGGCTGCTGGGGGCTCGGGGTTCAGCCCTCGTGCCTCCTCCGGAGGGGTCCCGCAGGAGCTCACGGCCCCGGCATCTCCCCGGGGCTCCTCCCGAAGCTGCGCTCAGACGGCGGGGACGGCGGTCATCTGGATTATCCACTTCTCGGCTCGGGGAGAAAGCCGCTCAGACAGGCACTGGCTGCTGCTGCTGCGGCAAAGATGATTTATTAGGTCGGTGCGGGGGGCCCAGTCCTGCAAGAAGCACAAGGCAAAACCCCAGCCCTCGGCCAAACGCATCTTTGTGTGGCCCTGATCTCCCCCAGCTGACAGGGAGCTGGCAGCCACCAGCCGTCCCGAGGGAGAGCACGACTCTCTTATTATGATTAAAAGCTCGCTGGCAAAACAGAGGAGAAAGAATGGTTTTGCTTCTTCTGGTTGAATTTGAAATTTCAGGCTGATAAAAGGCTGCTGAGCCTTTCCCAACGCAGCCACCAGCTCTCAGCCCAAACCTGCACCAGCCTCGGCGTACTGGGGATTACACCCGCGTGATTCACAGCTTGTCACCAAAATGTGGTCACAGGATGGCTTCCCCAGCCCCAGCATTACTGCAGGAGGGGACACACAAACACCACGGCTTGGATGAGTCTGCAGCAGAGCAGAGAAATTGCGTACACAATCGCATCGAGTTAATTTCCCTGAAAAAAAAATACTATTAGGCCAAACAGGGAAATCCCCTCCCTGCGATGAAGGGGATAAATCTCTACAAAAGAGGAAGCAGATAGGGAACCACTGTCAAATATCCCAAATAAATCAGCTGAAAATTATACACTGCCATGTACAGGCAGCCTAGGAAACCTCTAAACAACACTTCAGACCTTTCACTTCACCGATACTGCCAGTAAATCAAGACAAACACAAGCCTGGCCCTGGCTCTCCCTCTGTTCCTGGATAAGGTTCTGCTGAACTATAAAACCTGATGGATGTTTTATGACACTTCCACCTCTTTGCGCTGTTTGAGCTGGTTTTAGAGCTCCTGGGAGGGTCAAGAGGAGTCACAAGTAAAGTTTTCCGTGGGGGAGCTACAATCCACCACATAAACGAGCAGCTTTCCCCCAGCACTTCTAGCATCTTCAGGGTTCACTTCCAACTTCTCGTGGCTTATCTTGCACGTACACCCCAGAGGAATCCATTGTACTCGATAAGCTGCAGCCAGCAGCACAAACACAGCTAGCAAGGCTCTTTGCACAGGCCAGCATAAAGCTGCTCGGCAGAACAGGAACTCCCCCTTAGCGTTTGCAAAACTGATCTCTGACTACTGTTTTTTTTTTTTTTTTTTTTTTTTGAGAAAAAGTACGTAGGCTGGCCCAGTAGCTCCAGATGAGTTGGAGATGCAAGCTGTGCATGGCACATAGCAGCCAAGAACAGCCTGTTCAAATGAGACAGCCACCTAAAGAAAGCAGCGAGCAGCTACAAAAACAAACATCCTGCAGCACGGAGATGCACACCGCAGCCAGACGACTTTAAACCATTTACAGCTCTGGTCGGAGAGGTCCCAGGGTTTCCCTCTGGTTTTATCGATACACAGCACACGTCCTGCCAGCTCTTCTCCAGCAAGGACACGGGGAAGCTGGCTGCCAGGTGAGTTCTGGAGACGAATTTGTCCTCTGTCATCATCATGCGACCAACAGCCCCAGCCAGCCAGGGCACCTAGGGACAAGGACACCGAGGTCACTTACATTGGTAGACGTTTTACAGGGAAATTGTGAAGACTGCAGCCTGCTACCTAATAAAGCCACAACAGCAGGCTCAGACCGTGATGATCAGGGCACAATTTCTATTTATGTCACATTATGGGCAGCCCTACAATAGCTTCAATACACTCAGCCACTAACACACTGGTATGCAAATACATCAACAATTTGGCTCTCTTGAGGTTTCTTTCCTCCAGCTAGCGTAGACTTTGAAGCTTCATCAGTCCACTGTCACCTAAAATAGCTTGAGAGATTCTTACTATAAAGAAATCTGTGCTCTCAGCATTAAGAGCATCACTTAATGCTTCAGAGTTTCATTCCTCTGGCTGGGTCTAAACATTAATGAGCAAACTTGAAGCAGCAACATGTCACACCTACATGCTTTAATCCCTCTTCTCCCTTTGTAGATGTAAATGTTTATGAATTTTTAAACAGTTCCTGAAGTATGCAATGCTTCAAAGCCAAAATACACCATCACAAACCCCAGTGCTGACCGCCTTCAGAGTGCATCTACCCTCTCACAGCCACATCTTTTCAGTCCTCTGGCCAACAGGTGTCCAGATGAGGTTTCCAGGGGTGTTTTCAAGGGTACAGAACTGAAATCTGGACAGAGTCAGGCTATAGAGACACATTTTATTAGTGTATTATTAAATACCTTAGCCAAAGGAAGGCCAATTATTGCCACTTTGCAGAACAGAAACGTGATACAAAGGAAGACTTCTCCTCTATGCTATGCAGGAGAAAAAAAGAAAAAAAAAAGTCAGATTTCTAGAAGAAAAATCATTTTTTACCAGTTCTCCCTTTAAACTCCATTCTGCTGCATTAAGTTATGGGTTCTCCCTTCCCTAACAATCGACATCCATCACAAATTCCTCCTACACAAATCACTAGCTAAGGTGTTCCAGTTTCTGATAGCTATTTCCCTTCAGAGGACAGCAACTGGGCAAAGCTCTTCAGCACCAGATATGCCAAATATGGAAAGAAATGAAGATCCAAAACTGAAAGAAGTGAGATTTGTAAATCCCAGCAGACCAGAAAAACAACCCAGCAGAGCAACGCTGCAGTGCTCAGGAATCAGCTGAGCTGTCAAGAGAAAAGCTGACATGCACAAAACTTACCACTTGCGCCTTGGCTCATCTGAGTCGATGTAAAATCATGATGGTCAATTAAGCTTAATCCAGAGCTGTCATCTTCAAACAGTCTCAAATCAATTTCTGTCTTGATTTAGCAGTGTGCTCAGGGCATTAAGAACTGAGGCTCTGTGAACTCCACCAAGCAGTACTGCTTGCTTGTTACTTTGGAATATAATAGTGCTAGAAAAACACTTGAAAAGCAAAGGCTTTGAACAAGATGACCCTTTGCTCCTCACTACAGATAACAAATTTGTTTTCCTTACAGATAAAGACATAAAATAAAACCAAAGCTCTCCACCCTGTTTCCTGTGTGCAGAAAGGAGCTGAAGGCAATGCCTGCCCCTAGAAGAGGGCAG